GGAGGCGAGCACGGCCAGCCCCAGCCCCGCCAGCACAGCCACCACGGCGCTGCTCTGCAGCCAGAATCGCTCCACCTAGGAAACAAAAAAATCCCAGAGATCCCCATTTCCGTTTCCCCAGCTATAAGGAAACAGAATAAATAGTTGTATTTTTGCACCTTACGCAGCTTCAAGGCAATCACCTGCTCCTGGTTAGGTGGTTTTAAGGCTTCTTCCAAAAAATTAATGCATCAGAGCGGTTTTTGGAGTGGAACTTACCACGCCCAGAAACAGAGGTTTTGTAATATCCAAATTTGCTCTCCAAGCGAAGAAAAGGGAATAAAGACAGAGCATTCCGGCGAAGAGCCAGATCACAGGTGATTTCTGCTGCTTTGTCCTATTAAAAAAAAAAAAAAATGTAGCACTCCAGCGGCATGACGAAAAAGGAGACAAAAGTTATACGCGCTTGAAAAACAACTCTCTCTCTGCATACCTAAATGCATTTAAAACAAGGAGCCGATGAGCCTTTCTTTACCTTTGCAATTTATGAAACTTCTGTTTTCAAAGCACAAACCCCTCAGGATTTCAAGAGTTTTAAGCTTGCCGTCTACAAAGCCACAGGGTTACCGGGAGCGGGGATATTTTGCTTTTAATTAATAGATGACCACAGCCAATTGCTGAAATTTTTGCAGCAGCAAGCAGAAGGCAAAGCAAGCCGCCCATGCAGCCAGCAAGAAAGCGCACGTCGGAGCAAATGCTCTCCTCCAACTTACGGCAGTGCTGTGCTCACACAAGCCACGAGTGCCAGGGCGAGGACGGGAAGGGAGAGCTCCGACTTCATCTGCGCCAGCTGAAAACTGCGGAGAAATTAATGCATGGATGCGTCATCCCCAAATCATCCCTTGCACTCAATTAAAGTGTCAAGAGAAACCAGGAATAAGCACAACATAACACAGTCCCATTCTGCTGTGATTAAGTCTCCCAGAAATGGGAACAAGCTCCGTTTACATATCAGGATTTTGAATGGAAAATGACTGGGGAGGGGGATCCAGCATTTTTCCTTCAATGGAGAGGACAGACGGACGGTCACCCATGCTGTCCCTGCGCCGGACGCACACAGCCCCAGCTCTGGACCAAGCCGAGGAAAGGCAGGACAGGAGCCTCTTTGGCCAAAATGACAGCAGCACCAACAGGTTTCTCTCCACTAAAAGGCACAGTGAGGATTTTACTCACAGCAGCATCTCTCTCATACTGGATCCTGTCTCGGACTTGGCCTAGATTAAAAAGAAAGAAAACCCCTGAGAAACCCACACGCTGATTGCCATGTCACCGGGGCAAGAAGTCTTTCCATTTTGTGTTTTGCAGAGCCCTGAGCGCTCCTCCAGGCGGTACACCAAGGTGGCCACAGGGAACAGGAATGGCTTAAACGATCAAAAAGACAGCAAACTCTATTCAAACCTTCACTGCAAGGTTTTCTCCCACATCCTTGTTTTCCATTATGCCACTGTGCAGGGTTTACCACCTGGATAAGCATTTCTTCAAGGTGCTACCAACCCGTTACCCTGTGACTTCAGCACATCATATGGTTTAGCTATGATTTCCAATACATCATACAATCATTCAGGTTGGAAAAGACCTTTAAGATCATCGAGTCCAACCATAAAGCTAACCCTGCCGAGTCCACCACTAAACCACGTCCCTAAGCACCACATCTACACATCTTTTAAATACCTCCAGGGATGGTGACTCAACCACTTTCTTGGGTAGCCTGTTCTGATGTTTGATAACCCTTTCAGTGAAGATTTTTTTCCTAATATCCAATTTAAACCTCCCCGGGCACAGCTCGTCCTATATCTGCACAGTGCATTTATTTTCGGGGACATCTCCCCACAAGCTGAGACAAGCACGTGAGCCTCAATTCCTGCTTGCTTACCAGACTCGCCCCTGTCCCCTCTGCCCTGACGGAGGCAGAGCTGTGTGAGATTTAGATGAGATACACGAGAATTTTTATTGCAGAGATTGCAATCCATGACACGAGTCTGGGAAAGAAGACCTGCTCGGTGGAGGTGAGGAATTACCTTCGTAGGTGCTTGTTGGAAAAGTGGTGGCTACCAGATAAAAGATAAGGTAAATGGATGCAGGATGTCTGGAAGGAATATTTAATCTCCGTAAAAATGGAATAGTTAATTGCATTCAAGATTTAATTTAAAAAAAACACCAACAAGAAGTCTTAGAGGATGGAGAGCCAGCCCACAGCTCCTGAAGCACCACTGCCAACACTCTGTTTCTTGCAAAGCCCCACCTTGCTGGCACCTGACACCTTCTGCCCCCAGACACATCCCTTGAAGGAGATGACATTTCTGATCCTCGACTTATAGGTGGAACACTCTCCTGAGTCTTTTCTCTGTTGTTTTGGGTTTTTTTTTTTTACCCTGCCTGCCTTTAAAACGGAGCCGTGGGTCACAAGGGCTGTCTGTCCACCCAGGCAGGGCTCTGGCATTAGCCCAACGGGCGTCGGGACCAAACACTTAGATTTTGCTGCATTTATTGCTCCTGCTTCAGACAAGTTCATCGTAAATGTGATTTGCGGTGCAGGATTACACGCAGTCCATTCCTAAGCCTCCTGAACATCAACTTGAATTCATCGCATTTGATGGAGAAAGGAGTTAAGGGATTTGCATGCCTTGGTATCGCGCTGCCCAACCGAGTCTCATTCGTAGGAGATGGCTGGGAATAGGACAACAGGGAAAAACTCAGAAGTCCTTCAGAGGATGGATCTTATCTCTGTAGGAGTTTCAGAAAGATTAAGTAGCAGCAATAGGAATTATCAAGTCTTTTGCTTCACATCCTACAGCCACCCAGCTCCCCGAGAAGGATGGAATGGAATGGCAACGGTGCTCGCCGCATCACACCGGCCAGGTGCAGCTCCTGCACACACGGGGCTTCGTTTCTGAGGACGTGGGGCTTCAGGACCCCAAGGATTGACATGCTACGTAAACCATGCCTTTTTCTCTTTTTCCCCCCCCCAGTGGTGCGATTCCCCAGCCCTCTGCACTGAAATCTCTGAAGCAGGAAGGACAGAAGGGTGTCGGGCACTCGCTGTCCTTGGGTGGCCGGAGCCAAGCATCTAAGTCAGGGCTGGAGGAGCCAGATGCAAACCCCACGCTCTGCAAGCAACCATGTGCCACCTCCTTCCCTCCCTCTGCAAGAGCACAGACCAGTCAATAACTCAGATCCGAGGATTCTGAGACCCCCCCAAACCCACCACTCATTTCAATATTAGTAAGAAGTAAGTTAAGAGGAACCTTTTTTAAAGGTACAACGAACTGCTTGCGACCTCCTTAAATAGCTGAGTTCAAAATTAAAAAAATAAGACAATTATTTGTCTGAAAACAAGAAAAACACAAAACTGGTGTTACCATCTCCCTCTAGCACAGGTTGCTCTCTGGGATCTTATAAATATGAGGCACCTGTACAGCTCCCAGCAAATAATACGGCTCACCCCATAAAGGCAAAGAGAATTATTTCTTTGCTTTCCCAGCCATGTGATCCACTCCCAGGAAACCTGACAGATCAGAAGGTCAAAATCAGAAATAATTATTTAAAAAAGAAACCATTTTCAATTTCTTCCCCTGCAAGCCATTAATCCTCACGAATGGAAAGGTTCTGCTATTGCATAAGTTAAAAGAAAGTAATTTGGAAAATGACCCTTATTTACCAGATTGAACGTCCCATATTCTTCCCTGAGAAAGTGGGTCAAAAATCCTTGAAAAGTCGTCTGGTCTCCCCATGTCCAACGGGCTTGATTGAGGTAGGACGAAGCCGGCAGATAGAGATAAGGCAGCAAACCAGCCAAGAAGCATAAACCCAACTTCAGCAAATGGCCTAGGGACAATTCCTGCACCAAAATATGTCATATTGCATAACAATGTTTATTTTAGTTTAATCACGCTGGAACTTCAAGAACAGATAAAGAAAAACATCAAATATATTTACACAGAGCTGATCTCTCAATTTATAGTAAGTCCCTACAAAATGCTATGTTAAACCTTATGATTTTTGTGGATTACTAGGAAACTGCATCAAACTGATCTCCTTTGCATGGCAGGGTGAAATTTAAGTGAAGCAAATAATATTAGCTAGGACTCACGAGTATCATACTCATTGCATCTTTCACATTTAAATCATGGCATGACATGCATAGATGGCTGAAGCACTGCAAGGCTGAGATAACCCACTTTGCAGCGATTAAGAGTTGGCTGGTATTCCATCTGGCAAAAAAAAAATTAAATAAATAAACCCCGCTGCTCTAGTACAACTACACACATCATCACCATCATCAGGAGTCAGTTTTGCCATTTACTTTATCGTGATTACACTGGCTAAATTGGATAGGCCAACTTTTGGGGTGGGATTTTCAAGACTGCCTAAGGGGTCAGGAAGACAAGACTTTCAAAGGGACTTCTGTGCCTAACTCCTTTAAGTGCTTTGGAAAATCCCACCCTAGAATATTGCACGCTCGCTTTATCGTTAGCCACTGCTCTGTCAATCAAAGCACTTCTTCTGCAGTTGGGGTTATGGGGAAGAGGCACCATTCAGAGCGATGCTCTACGGAGCAGAAAAAGTAGCTTGGTAACGGTGGTGGCCACAGTTCCTTCAGAAGAAAGCTGGCTCTTCTTTACTGAAGAAGGCACTGTTTTCCACCAAATATCCTTCTTATCAGGTGGTTTTCTACAGCAGGCACTACTGGGCTGTCTAAAGTATTTCCCAGGAATATTATTATTGGGACAGCTTTGTCCTTGCTGAAAATCACAGAGGTGTCTCTGATTAAAAAAAAAAACAAAAAACAAAACCAGGCTGTTTAAAGAGTACAAATATATCGCAGAAGTGAAACATCATTTTGTTGAAGGAAATATACAGTCAGGAAGGGGTTTGCTGGAGACATCGAAGAGATTTTGGATCAAGATTGTCTGAGTTGCATCTTATCTCTTGCAGCTTGCACGCATCACTCCAGGTTTAGTTATACCCTGCGCCATTACCCAGGACCACACCTGATTTATCAGGTCGAGGGTGGAAAAATACAGGTAGGACCGGCCCAGCAGAAACCTGCCCAACTGCCAGCTGCGAAAGAGAGCTGGGGGGGAGCAGACGGAGCCTTCTCAGGGCCACACGCAAAGTGATGAGAGCATCTGCCCTGCTGGTTTCAGGGTAAAGTAGAATTTCTGGAACACATCTACATCCAGCCTGATGCGCTGACTCACAGAAGATCCCCTGCAGAAGACAAGAGCATCGCAGGGCCCCTGAACGTCATCTGGGAGCCTCATCCAGACGGATGCATATCACCTTCACAAGCCAGGCATGCAAAAAGGTGTTTTCACCTTCTTACACAACTAGCAAGCTTAATGAAAGAGGTGTAGAAGGAGGGACATCTTGAGCATGGGATCTCTGGTAGGAGATGAAAGGGACATACTTGACCAGATCAGGGGCTTGCTGTTTCACCGAAGGTCAGCCTTCCTTTGGTCTTGTCCAGCTGGCACGAGCCAGGCGCTCCTCACCCAAGAGCTGATCTCTCGTAGGACTTACAAGTCCTGGCTGTGCCAGAGCTGGAGGCATGTCCCAAGGTGATGCTGAAGAGGACTCGCCCCTAGAGAGAAGGGTCTGCACCCTTACTGCTGCGCTGCTTATTCGGGCTGCGCCTTCAACTATCGACAGCAGTCGCAAGATGCTCTGCAACCAGCAGACACAGCTTTCGTTGTGGAATCAACATACCGAAACTCATCTCCAAATGAGTTGATGGCATGAGAAAGCCAGTGCCCTCAGCCAGGAGAAGCCGTGCCCAGACTGCACGTGCCTGTGACTTCTCACCAACAGATATTCACCTGCTTCCCCGTTTGCTCGGTCATTGAACGTGCTCTTATTTCCTACACACTGAGCAGCTTTTAGCTCTGAGTATCGGTCTCGTAGTTGCGTACGGGGTATCTGCTAGCAGGTGGGGCAGAGCGCTGCTGTGCCAGGACACGGGGCAGGTCACAGGTTGGTGGTGTGAGCAAAGCCTCTGAATCATCATCGCTGTCAGCTCTGGTGTCAGACTGCTGGACCGTAGCTTCAGAGGGGTATGACCGACTAGTTTAGACAAACCATCGACTGTCACTGTTCGTACATCAACATAAAAGTGGCACAAGTGCTTGGAAAGAAGAATTACTCGCTGCCTTACAAAAACAGAGGCACGGGTCAGCAAAATACGTACCGTCTTTCTGAAAAGCCGGGAGAGAACCCAAGGCACAATACAAGCGATATAAAGCACTATTGTGTGCTGATTGCACAAACTGAGCCCACAGCAAAAGGCACCAAGTTTAGAGATCTGAAAGGGGGGAAAAAAAACCAAACACATTCACAATTATTCCTTACAGTTTGCAAAAAACATCCAGAGACCAAAAGAGCGTCAGCACGCTTACAGGAGAAAGGCAAAGACATCGGTGAGCACCGGTCAAGTGTAACACAGACAACACAGGCTGGTTTTGATTATTTACAGGGAGATTTCAGTTGTTTCACAGAAAACATTCTTTAAGAAGTGTCCAGCTAAACAGCTATGTCCCCATGTATACAGAGATCCTATGTCACACCATCACGTACGTCAGAACGATGTGATGGGGTCCAATTCCTGAACCCCTGCCGCACAGGGGAGACTGCCCAGCAGTTAACTTCAAAAGATGTAATTTTTTCAAAAGCCATACCCTAAAATAATGCCATTATGTACAGAGATCTCATTTGATAGAACAGGGATTATTTTTTACCCCTTTTTCAGGCACAGAGAGCTAAAGCGAGGGCTACACAAACTTCCTGAGCAAAGGGGAGTTAAATGCAATATCCCTAATTAGTCTAAAAACTCGTTTTCAAGCATCTTTGAAAGAGTTTTCTGATAAAATGGGTAACGTATCCAGACTACGCAGCACCGTCCAGGGCCACTGCCTCCTCTGAATTTGCCTCCTCCATCACTTGGTCCACGTTACGACCTGACACCATGCCCCAGGGCAGCTCCTCGGGGGGGGCAAAAAGCCACCAGAGTCCCACAGACATTGTTGGACAGGAGCCGACAACCCATCTTCACCTTCCATCTATCATCAAAGCATCGCCTCTACTATTTCAGTCACCGGTGAGGATGGCGTGCGAGATGCAAAGTCTTGCCTTGGTGTGGTGATGGGATCACCTGGTAATTTTTAATTGACTGACCAGCATCCAACGTTGAAGGCTGCCTGGCCGTGGAAACACCTGCCATAACTTCTGAAAAACACTTGTGGGCTTCAGAGCTGCCCTGCGGGACCCAGAAAAACTTCAGTAATTTTTCAAGTATATTGATGAACTCCAAGCAAGCCCCTGAAGATGTTTGCACGACCATCTGATTTATGAAAAGCGCTGTGTGAGCTTGCTGTTGGCTGCCTGGCTTCTTCAAGGCACGGGATGCTAGACACCCAAAAAACATTGAAACAAGCTCCTTAAGTGCTCCTCAAAATCTCATCTGAAAATCCCATTGGAAATTGGGCACGTGAAACATGGAAGCAGGTTGGAAAATGCCCCACGCCATCTTTGTGGAGTTCAGGTTCAAGGGATCTTGGGACACTACTCATCAGAAAATAACAAAAAATAAAAGTGGTGAAACAAGGTCTCTATAACCACTGATAAAACATGTTATTTGAGAACCCGTTAAGCTGAGTAAACTACCACTGCAGACTCCTGAAATTCTAGCCTAGCCTGACAAAAATCCTTTTATTCACACAATTTACAGGAGTCACAGCAGGCAAGTCAGTCAGAGGAGAAGAGATCAGATGTTCAGGCAAACAGAAGTAGAAAGAACAAGACTGCTGAGTAAAAATATCACTTGGCTGCCTAGTCTGTGTATAAAGTAGAGAATATAGCATGGAATTTGAAGTCTCTGTATTTAACAATGCCATTATTTTAGGGGCATGCTTAATTTCAAAAATACCGATTGAAAATTTGGTCATTTCTGTTTTTTCAGTAGAAACCTGGGTTTCTGACTAGATGAAGTTTTCCGTAAAATATATCTATTTACCCCAAGGAAAAACAGCAGTCCTGAAAACAAAAACTTGAACACCCACAGCCTAGTTTGAATCTTTGATGCACGAAACCAAACTTTGCACTAAAACATTTAGATGAAAATTATTTTGCTTTTCCTGATTCCACCCTGTGTGTATTAAACAAACCAACCCAAACCCATCCAACAGGTCCCAACTCAACCCTCAAACAAAGCAGACAGGTTTTTCAATGTTTGGCACTGTTAAACATCCAGGTAGGGCAGGGACTGACATCACCCAGCACTGGTGCTGACCCCAGTCCCAAAATTTGGCCTTCTTTATTTAAATAAAACTAAATCAACGCTAAATGAATAGGAAATTAAACAGACACGTGCTAAATAATTGGAAAAAAAAAGAACTATTCACTTTGCTTGAGATGTTTTACCTTTGATCTCTCTTTTGCAGTGGATGCCTCCTCAAAATGCGCGGTGAGAGCCATCAGCAGCCCCACAAACAGATTGTTTAAGCTAAAAACCTCCGCCGCGATGGACCACTGCCATGTTAGACGAGAAAATGAAAACACCCCCGCAGCAAGGATTCCTCCAGCATATGAGCCAGAAAGCCTGCAAACACAGATAACATGAAATCTTCTTTTCCAACAAAAAAAGCCTACTTTATTGTCCTTCTTCTTTTTTTTTTTTAAAACATACTGTAGCAGCAGAAATGATGACTGCCACCCAGCACCCTGCCAAAACATTATATGGTTAATATCTTCCTAATAATTTCTTTGCACTGCATTGCAATTAGGAAGAGCAGGCGTTAGCCAGCCCGTCTATTTGCAAGCCACTCAACACCAAAGACTCGGTTTCTTCTCGCAAGCGCCATGAAAACTTCCAGTATTGAATCCGGTTCAGAAACCCCGATGAGCGATGGCCCGGCGGGTCGTGGTACACCGAGCCAGGGAGTCACGCTTCTAACGGGATACTCTCCGTGTGCAGCCTTAAATTCATCAAGGTGCTGAATAAAGAGCGGATTAGAGCTCTTCGTGATGGACAGCATTAGCAGAGCTCTCCTGGGGGGAAAGGTTGGAGCGTCTCAAGGGTGGGTGAGGATTGTGGCGCCCGGCGTCCCGGCAGGGTCAGGAGCAAGGAAAATGGGGAGCCCACGAGGTGGGATTTAGCCCAGGAAACCTATGACACCCGTTCTGCAATAGTGGCTCTTCCCACGCGGTCGTGTCAGGGGCGGCTCCGGCTCTGCCTGTTTGGAAGGTCTCCCCTTTGGGAAGTCACCCCGAAAAGGGCACCACAACCAGCTCAGTTACGCCTTATCCAAAGACAGAAACAGCTGCGGCTACGATCAAAGCTCCTCTCGAGACATTCACCCTCCTGCTGCGAGACTAAGCCAGGCTCTACCACAAATTGGGTTATTTTTTCCCTCCCACCCCAGGTACGCACGCTTCCATTTAGTCCTAACATTTCCAACAGGTTTGAAGCAAAATGATGATAGGCTAGCCAACTTCATCATCAAGCTACCTGTGTAATTTGCTCCTAAATACCGGCCATATCCTCTAGCACAGCCAAAGTCCCCAGTTGGCTTGTTCTGCCCATCAGGGACCAGACTGGAAGTCCATGTAGGACTTGATTATGGGGTTCCTCACATAACTCTGAGATAAATGGAGACCAAGTCAACAAAACCTACAGCCCCTACGAACAGAGATGAGGGAGCTGCTGGCACTGCACTCCCTAGCAAGGGCTCCTCTCCTTAGTTACGCTTTCTTTCCACCTTCCCAAAACAACCTCAGAATACTGAAAAGCCAACCTATTTCTGTAGATGTCAAAGAAGGGCTTGCGCAGTTAGAAAGGGAATTTTGAATCCATTAAAAATGGGAAGTAGGGTGTATGGGGATGAGAGGACTGGGATGAGGGCTTGGGAAGACCAGGTCTCTACTGCTCCTCCTGCCACCGACACTGGATATCCTGGGTGGCCTGGGATAAGCCACTCTGCTGCTGTCACCCCAGGTATCTGCAAAATAGGAGTAATGTTTTTTTATCTCCTTTGTAAAGCGTTTTCAGATCTGCAGCTACAGGAGGTAGCTGGAGGGTGAGAAGCAAGGCAGTTCAGGTAACACTGGGGAAAAAAGAAACCAAGTTTCAGGTGTCTGAGGCCAAAGTGAGATAAGCTCAGGGTGACACAGAGCTTCAGCATCAAGATTGTAGGAAGGGGTCTTGAAAAATCACTGAAAGGGAAAACGAAGTCTGAGAATTCCCAACTGACAGCAGGTGGGACTCCTTCCGACCAAATCCATGTCCACAAAGTAGCCTATAAGCTTTTGAAGAAAGGTGATGTGGAACCTCTTCTGTGGGAAATCAGGCAAGCTTTGAAGTATCTACTGTAGTGCTCACTAATGCATGCCACCACGGTGGACTTGTCCAACATCTAAACTTCACTGCAGTTGAACACAGGTCTGGGTATTTGGCATGAAATTGTCCAAGGCAAGACCCATCTCCCACTGCATTAACATAATATTCCAAAATCACACAATTGCATATAGAAAGTTGTTCACAGGCATGAACACGGCTCCCTGAGTCCGTCACCTCCAAGGAAGAGGTGGAAGACACACCACCCATCTGGCAAGGCTTTCAGCCTCAAGGGCTCTGGTTGTGCTCTCCTCCTCCCTGTCACTAGAAAGACGTGGCACCTGAGCTGAGAAAGGAAAGATGCAACGGAGTTTACAGGAATCAAGTTAGGAGTGCCTTCTGTTCCTAAAGAAAAATACCAGGACAGGGTAGCGGGGCCATCAGTATTTAAAAATCGATAGATCCCCTGATACACAAACCCCAGTACACAACATCCTTAAGTTTTCATAGGATCATAGAATGGTTTTGACTAAACTCTTTAAACAGCACAAACTTTCAGTTAGAAAGAAACAACTTCATAAATCCCTTTGAAAGTCTTGCAGGGAAATTATGTAAAAGAAAAAAATGGCAAAACAACCTTCCCAAAAACCTTGGGATGGAAAGCAGCATTTGAAGCAAACGTCCCAATCATTTACCAATTCTCCTTGTCTTTCCCAGAAAAGACTCGAGCGTATCAGTGGAATTCAAGTGAGATGAAAGAAATCCCGTCCTCTTGATAAAAAGTCACAAACCTACAATTCAAGTTTTATGAAATAAGGCTTAAGCAAAAGCTACTCAACCCAAAGCTTAAAGACTTATTCCAGCTATGTGGAGCAGGGCACACTTCTGCTTACTGTCCAGTGCAGGGTCAGGATCCAGCACCGAGCATGGTCCACAGGTCTGTCAACAGAGCCGGTGTTGCCTTTAGTTTCTTGTGAAACTCATGGAAAAGCCAGGTGGCCAAGCTTACTGTGTAAAAGCATGGAGCACTAAGCTCCTACAAGTATACTAGATGCTAAAAGACCAAATGGAAACATGTTGTATTCTTGAAGAACATCAAGACAGTAGCATTGGGGAATGCAAGCTGGAGAACAAGAGTTTTTTCCAGATTCTGTTACCACCAATGTAAAAATGATGGATTTACAAGTTTGCTGATTCAGAAGGAAATACTCTGGAAAGTGGAAGCGATCAGTCCAGGTATCTCCAGATGAGGATAAAGACAACCCGGCAGAAGAAAAACCACGTCCAGCAGGTCCACCCAATGCAACGGTTCACAGTGCAAACTAGCGACAAGCAGAAATGAATCCCATGCAACTACGTCGGCATGATGCCGGGGCCAAATTAAATCAACCCTGCCTTACGGCTGGGCTGACGTGGTTACACTGCTCATTTTGATCGACACGAGGATCTCCATGTGCCACTGCACTCTGCCATCTGGCAGCCTCTTGGTCCTCTCCAGCACGGAGTGACACTGTGCTGCGTCTCTCCTGCCTTAGCATAAAGACGGCCCCCAAACCCACACACTGTCCAAGGAGGTGACAAAGCAACTCAGGTACAGACAACACAGGTCAGCCACCTACAGCACTTTGAACCAAAGGGCAGTTTCAAGGTGGGAAAGACACTGGTGGGTGTTTTGTCAGGTAAGGCAGATAAAGAAGAACAGAAAAGGCACAAAGATGAGAGTAAAACAGAGATGGGAAGAAGTGAGAGAACAAAAGGATGGAGCAGAGCTCTAGACCCAAGGTCAAGAAGCTTGAAGCCAAGAAAGAGGATGAAAAGATCTGCAAAGAAGGACAGCGCAACCTACAACTGAAGATGCTGTTGGCGACAACATGTTGCATAAAGACATTAGGAAGCCAGAAGATAACAGCTGCTTTAATTACAGGCCCAGACAGCATTTTTGTGGTTAAGACAGAGTATGTTGTGGAGGAAGGTTAGCACAAGAGGTGAAGACGACTTCCCATAACTCCAGTAAAAGCTCGACAACCCAATTACCTATGTCGAGATGGAGAGGGAACAAGACCATTTTTTGTGTGGAAGGTAAGAAGGGTTGTCCTCATGGTATATAGACACATGCCTCACCAAAATCAAACACCAATGTCTGACACAAACATTGCAAATAATTCCTGCAGTGAAGCTTTGCTGGACAAGGAGCACGCACGCATGCTTCGGTCTCTGCCACCCAGCCTGGAGACCCACACTATTCCAACCACATTGGCTGGAGGCTTGTAGGTGCACTGTGGTCAGGAGAAGGAAACAGTTGGGGTTTAGTTGCTTAACACCATCTCTCCTTTTGACAGTACATCAGGGCTTCAGAGCAGAGAGCAGCAGAAGTTTATCCTGACTTGACTTCTACTCATGCTTCTGTCTTCAAACACATTTTTCAAATACAGTTGAGGTGTTACAAAAACCATGGCAAAGACCCGTGACAGCTGGATCCTTGACTGGTCTCATGTAAAACCAACACGTAGGAGGGCTTTTTCCCATTGCTTCTGGGGAGCAGAGAGGTTAGCTTCCTGCTCCCCCAAAGCCAGCATGTCTCCCCCAGTCTTTGGAACTGGGATGAGAAGGAACAGATGACTGGACAAGAGAGAGGATCAAGGGGTCTCCAACAATGAAGCCATGGCAGTGGTTATAACCATCCGGTGTTCGTCTGTTAACACAGTGTAGGCATAAAGCTATCTTGCAACGACTCCCTCAAGAAGAGAGGCTTTACAAAGAGCAAAAGGTGGACAGAGCCCCGCTATAAGGCTCTGGCCAGTGATGGGGGCGGATCCTGGGCTTGGGCTAGGTAGGGACTATGTCCTGGAGAAGAAAGCTGGGTCACCTAAAAGAAAGCATTCAGAGTAGTAACACCCTGCTGTAAGAACAACCTCAGCGCACAGAAATCAGCTCATGAAAGAAGAAAAGATTTGCAGCCCACGCAACAGTGGGAAAGTCTTCATAACCTCTCCCAGGGGTATCACAGCTACCACCACCAGGTCCACTTCGAGAAGGACTGAAGCACCGAGCCTGAATAAAAGCCACCTTCTAGGCTCGTTCTTCTTACACGGAGGAAAAACCAAGGGAACAGCTTGTATTTTTGATTTTGCAAAATAACTAGTTTGGGGCAAGACTTGCTCAAAGCACACGGAGCACTTTTTCAAAACAGAACAAGGGGGAAGAAGGTCCCTTCCTATCGCTCCAATAACTACAATATTTGATCATTCCCATCATCTGAAAACTCA